AAAAAAAAAAAAAAGAGGACAGAAATCAGATACTAAGAGTTTTTCTATTTTCATTTGTATGTGAATTTTTTTTGGCTCCGAATGCCTTCAAGGCATGACTGGCTGGCTTGTGTTGTGGGGATCGAACCACAGCAACCTGAGGCTGACTGCTTTGTTGAAGCAGCCACTTAAAGAACTGAGCTAAGGAGCAGGCTCCCTGTATGTGAATTTTTAATACAAATGCACATATGGAAAGCATTAAATCAGGTAAAAATTTTCAACAGTTCAAGTTTGTAACAAATATAAATATTATAACAATTGCTGTTATAGAAATTATAAATAAGGGGCCAGGGAGATGACTCAGTAGAAAAAGCGCTTCCCTGGCAAGTACAAGGGCCTGAATTCAATCCCCAGTTCTGCCAAAAAAAAAAAAAAAAGAAAAAGAAAAAAAGAAATTATAAATAGGCCTGTTAAATCATTCTGGACAATGCCTTCATTTTGTTTTGAGATAGGGTCATGCCACATTCCCCAGGTTAGCCTTGAATTCATGAGCTCAAGTGATACTCCCAGCTCAGCCTCCCAAGTAGCTGGGACTACAGGCATGCATCCATGCCCAGCATCAATATATTCTTTTTTCCTTTTTGCCTCTACACTGCCTTCACACTGTACTATATTCCTAGCACTTTTAATTTTTTTTTTTTCTTCAGAACCAGGGATTAAACTCAGGCCCTTGCACTTGCCAGGGAAGCACTTATTCCACTGAGCCATCTCCCCAGCCCCCTACTTTTAAAATTTTGAGACAGGGCCTCATTGAGTTGCTTAGGGTAGGCTTCAACTTGTAATCCTCCTGCCTTAACCTCAAAGGTGCTAGGATTATAGGTACGTGCCACAACACCCAGCCAATCAATTGTTTTTTTGTTTTTTTAAATGTATTTAGTACAGGGTCTACAGGGTTTCACTACACAGATCACAGGTAGTGATCCTCCTGTTTTCAGTCTCCCAAGCACTGGGATTACAAATGCGTCACCACACCCATTCTCAATCACCATCTCAGTGCACCCCCGGTGGCAAGGCCGACTTAACTGTGTTTTTTAAAACCAGTAGGTATTTAATTGACAACAACTAAATGGTGTTTATAACATTTTTAACATATAGTAGGTGTCATCCCATCCATTCACTATACTTTTCTTTGCTGTCTTATACATAAAACATGATTATAATGTTGTCTGTCTTCTGTTGTGACCTTGTAAATTTGTTATTCAAATACATTAGAACATTTTTTTTAAAGTAATTAAAGCAGGCTGGTGAGATGGCTCAGTTGTCTAAAGCACCTACTTAGAACAAGTAAAGCACACTCACATTTAACATACTTCAAAACACAGCAAAGCACAGGGACCGCGGTTCAATCCCCCAGCACCACATGCCAGCCAGCGCCGCCCCCTAGTGGGATGAGCTGGCCACACACACACACACACACACACACACACACAAATAAATAAAATTTAAAAAAATAAAGTAATTAAAGCCAGGTGTGGTGGCACATACTGGTAATGATAGCACTTGGAAGCCTGAGGCAGGAGGATCACTGTGAGGAGAAGGTCAGTGTGGGCTACACAATAAGATTCTCTCAAAAGAAAAAAAGTGGGGGAGACTGGGCATGATGGCACACGCCTGTAATCCCAGCACTTGGGAGGCTGAAAACAGGAGGATCACTACGAGTTCAATCTAAGTAGTAAGATCCTGTAGACCCTGTCCTAAGTACACAAAGAAAGAAAAAAAAAAAGAATTAAAACATTCTGTGAGCTCCTAAAGTACCAAAGGCCATGTGACTAAGGCACCCACTTACCTCTTTCCCACAAAATGTTGCTTCTCTTCTTTGTTCCTATCTCAGAAAATGGTGCCACTGTTCATTTACCTTGTCCACTTCTGAAACTTCAAGATCATCTTAAAGTCCCTCTCCCCACATATAATCAATCCAAAGTCTACCTGTAACTCTTAAAGTATGTGTCAAAACTACCTACTGGGGGCCTGGCCCTAGCTCAGTCCTTTAAGTGGCTGCTTCCACAAAGCTGTCAGCCTCAGGTTGTTGGAGTTCGAACCTCACAACCCTCCAGCTGGCCAAAAGGGCCCTGAAGGCATTCGAGGAACCAAAAAAAAAAAAAATCCTTCATGTACCTCGGTAGTGTCCCAAATTTTCTAATCAAGAAGATTATGGGGCCAAAGAGGAAAGTGATCGATGACACAGAGTGTGCCTAAGGAGAGTCACATGGGGAGAAGACACTCTCTCAGGCTTTCACAGAGAGCACATTGGCCAAGCAATGGCCGTGACTCATCCACATGGCTGACACTGACAAAGGTTCTACAATCTGAGGTACAGGATCTCAGGATAAATCCTGAGGGCATTTCACTGACCTTCTCAGACCAAAAAGCTACAACTCTTGTTGCATAGGTCCTGCTTTACCTTGGTCTTAACCATCCAGTAGAAAAGTATGAAGACGAAATATAGGAAATAAAGCCATGCTGTTAAGTTGAGCTGTGGGGGACTCAGGTCAATAATTTCTGACATTGCCAGTTAAACAGAAGACCCAATGCTATTATGGGCTACTGGACTCTTAGAATTTTTTGCTGAGTTTACACACCTATAATATTCAATAACGGAACTTAGAAAAAACGGGGTATACCTATGAATGTCCATTTTGTATCTGTGTATTCAAAGTGGTTGGGATAGATATATAGTTGCATTCTCTTAATGAATAGAATGATTTGTTCTAATGGTGTTTGTAAATAGGATCACAAGTCCGCATCTTGTACAGCAATTAACCACTAAGAAGAATATATGCAGTGTATTATTTGTTGAAACTGTACTTCCGATTTGATTTGAAACTGTCTCATTGCTGTTTATCAATAAACCTTTAAAAAAATAATAAAAAAATTAAAAAAAAAAACTACCTACTGCTTCCAATCCCCACACCTAAACACCCAAATCCAGTCCTTAATCTCCTGTCTAGATATCTACAATAGCTTTCTCATTGGCTTTCCTACCCATAGTCTCCCACTAGCACTCAATGGCTTTTCTATAATACTACACCTGCCACTCACATTTAACATACTTCAAAACACCAAGTAAGATGGAATAAAGCTGTAATCTCAGCTACTCAGGAGGCTGAAGACCTACAAGTGTGAGGTTAAAATAGGCAACTCAGCCAAACCCGGTCTCAAAATAAAGCAGGTGTGGTGGTGCACAACTATAATCCCAGAACTCTGAAAGGCTCAGGACACGAAGATCACAAATTTGACCCCAGCCTGGGTACTTAGCAAGACCTTGTCTCAAAAATTAGAAAGGAAAAGGGGAAGAAAAAAATTAAAAAGGGCTGGGATGTAGCTCAGTGCCAAGGCCCTCAGTTCAATCCCCAGTACTACAAAAAAAACTATCAACAACAAGGGGGCCGGGGAGATAGCTCAGTAGAATAAGCGCTTGCCTGGCAATCACAAGGGTCTGAGTTCAATCCCCGGTTCCATTAAAAAAAAACAAAAAAAAAAAAAACACAAACACATAGCATTCACCTCACCCCCACCGTCTCTGCACACCTCTCCAATTCTCATCTCTCATCACTATCCCCCATTTCTCATGTTTTCTGTTTTCCACTGATCCAGAAATGCAAAACTCTTCAGGACCTGCCTCACTCTCCTACTGCCAGACTTTCATGCAGGCTGTTCTCTGTACCTACAGTATTTCTTACTCTCTTTGCCTGGCTAACTCCTCACACCCTCCTAATCCATGCCCCCAAGAGTCAGATTCTCCCCAGCCCCTTTTAAGCCCTTATCTACTCTCACAACTGCAGTTAGGTGAAATAACCTGAAGGAATCCTGAATGGAAGCCTTCCTGGATCGCTACAGACTGTTTTAACACCATTTTTAAAATTTATTTTTTTAACACCATTTTAAAAAATTAAATGTACTATCCTGTGTTTTAAGTAAAGAAATGAATTGAACTCAGACCCTCATGCTTGCCAGGGAAGCGTTTATTCTACTAAGCCATCTCCCCAGCCCCAAGAAATGGATGGTAAAACAAGCACTAAACACAAAGGATGGTAAACACAGTTCAGCATGGTGCTTCCTTCTGGGGGTGGAGAAAGATATGGATCTGGCAATGTCCTAGTCCTGATGGGATTCACAAAGGTTAATTCTATTATAAGTTATACATGTTCCAGGTAGGGAATATAGCTCAGCAGCACAAGCACTTGCCTCGCAAAAGCAAAGTCCTGGTACAAAAAAAAGTTCCATATATTCCTTTGCACTTATCAAATATTTAACTAGCCTCAGTAATACATTACCATCAACATATTCCCATTTTTCCTTCAAAACATTCCTCAAAAACCTTGGTGAAAAAGCTTTGGAACTAGGAAAATAATACACAGAACTTACCACAAAGAGAAAAAAGCTATAGGACTCTAGCACTCCAAAAAGCCATAAATGCTACCTACTCTAGAAGCACATATACTAAAACTGGAATACAGAGAAGATTAGCATGGTCCATGCACAAGGAAGACACACAAATTCAAAAAACAAAAAGGTGGGCTGGAGAGATAGCTCAGTAGAATAAGCGCTTGCCTGGCAAGTGCAAGGTCCTGAGTTCAATCTCCAGTACCACAAAAAAAAAAAAAAAAGCAAAAAGGTGATCATTTTGGTGCACACCTACAATCCCAGTACTTGGAGGCTGAAGCAGGAAAATCAACATGAATTTGAGGTCAGCCTGGACTACATAGTAAGTTTAAGATCAGCCTAAACTACCTAATAAGACCCTATCTCTGAAAAAAAAAAAAAAATGCCACAAGCAGAGCCAAAAGACAGTTGTCATGAGGTTCCTGATCCCAACACCCCTCCATCACTCCATCATTTTCTGCTCCTGTATCATAGGTATCTGACCCAACTGAGGTCTAGTACCCACACAGTCATAAACAAAGGCGGACTCCAAATTAGACACATCTCTCAGCAAATCATAGCAGCTGTGGACAGCCTGGCATTCTGTGAAGATATTGTGTCCTGATGGGATTCACAAAGGTTAATTGTTTTATAAGTTATACATGTTCCAGGTAGGGTTTCTGTACTAAGTCAAAAAGACTTGGCACAGATATACATGGGAAAGTTGCAGTTCTGACTTACATGTTGACTGCTATCCAGACAGGGTGGTTGATTGATTAGCTGAGTCAAAGGTTTCCGAAAAGGAGACAGGAAACGCTCTTGGATCTGAGTCTCTCTGCTAGATTTCCGTTTCTTAGGAGTCTAGGAGAAAGAAATGGGAAAGCTGAGGTCTAGAGGAAGACAGCCCTCACCCTAATGGAACTAGTATATAAAGTGCTTCTTAGACTGGGTGTGGTCACCCACCACATCTATAGCCCCAGGTACTTAAAGAGGCTGAGGCCAGAGAATTACTTGAGTTAGTGAGTCTAAAACCAACCTAAAAGGGTAGAGAGATAGCTCAGCAGACTAAGTGCCTGCTTAAGCAAGCACAGAGACCAGGGTTTGATCCCAAGCACCACATGCCGCGCTGGCCCTGGTACCAGCCCTGGATGCGTAGAGCCAGACCAGGCATGGTGGTGCATACCTGTAATGCCAGCAACAAGGGGGAATCACTAAAAGTCCAAGCTGCATAGTGAGACCCTGTACTAAATACATTAATATATATATATA